CACACACACACACACACACACACATTCAAGCGTGCGTGTTCATACATTTATACTTAATTTTGTTGTTGTCGTTAAAGAACATACATTTTAAAAAATTATTTAAAAAATAAAACAGCAACAATACCCCTCCCCCTCCCTTAAAGTTATATTCTAATTGTTGCGATTCTTTAGTATTGTTGTTTATCTCAAGGAATGATATTTATAAAGAAAATGTGAACGACATAGACAAGAACAAGGCACATTACCCAACATACAGTGGTGTTGTTGACGTTGACGATGACGATGATGACAATCTCGTCTATGTCGAGTCATAGATGTCAAACTATTTCTGACGTAGTCACGTAAGATCAGAGCAATATATCGCCAGCGTCATTCCACAACCGCCTAAATCAATTTCTAGTGGTTTCCAGACCAAGCCGTTATTCGAAGAAAGACATTAAGGAACATCGTACAATATACAATATAAGTTTCGTTTTGTTTGGTTATTTCCTTCTTTATTCTTCATTGAAAATCAGAAGCGCCCAAGTATTCACTATGATTTCGGCAGTCTCTTTTTCTTTGTGTTTCTCAAAACTTTGAAACATGACATAGGTACTTGAGGAATGACTCTGGCTATTTTTGTTACAAATGTACGTGCGGAGAGAAAAAGAAAGACTGATCAATTGGGAAGATACAGACATAAAACAGACTAATAGATCTATTGATCATTAAATAGATAGAGACACATGAATTGAACTATAGACATGTAGAGTGAAAATTGGACAGGCTTTAAGAAAGATGGACAGGCAGAAAGACAGAAAGAAAGACTAAAACATAGATTAACTGACTGACAAAAATGAAGATAAGCATTAATATTTGCAATCATACATTTAGACAGACAAATGGACAGAAAGGGAGATAAGCAGGCAGATAGGCAGTTAGACAAACAAACAGTATGCCAGACAGACAGACAGATAGTCGGCCAAAAAACAGACATACAACATAATATTGTCAAATATAAAGGAATATAAGACAGACAGATAAAAAGAAAAGATGAAAGACAAAAGTTCAGGTAGACAGACAGACAGATAAACAAATAAATATACATATAGACAGACAGAGCAAAACGCAAAGAGACAGACAGACAGACAGACAAACAGACAGACAGAGAGACAGACAGACAGACAGACGGATGGAAAGAAAGAAAGAAAGAAAGAAAGAAAAAAAAGAAGAAAGAAAGAATGAATGAATAAATGAATGAAAAGAATGAATATGAAAGAAAGAAAGAATGAATAAAAGAAAGACAGAAATAGATAAAGAAAGAAAGTATAACAGTCTGAAGTAGAGCCAGATAGTGGCAGAACTTACCCGAGCTCCCTTCTCTCCTGGAGGGCCAGGGGGTCCATGTTCTCCTTTCAATCCCTTGGGACCAATCAGACCTTCTGGTCCGGGGAATCCTTGGTTACCTTGGGGTCCGGAGGGGCCGGCAATACCAGGGGGACCCTGCGGCGTGGAGAATAAGGCACTGGTTGTTAGCGTTTGCGCCACTTTTGATGTCATTTTGGGTTATTTACGATTTTGTACTAAGCGAACTTTATGCAGGCAATCAAAGTAGATTTCAGTACATGTATGTGGTGGGTTCGAAGTTTGAAGTAATATCGGGTAAGTATGGTGGGATGGGCGTGGGTTGGGTTTTGAGTGGAGATGTTTTTTGGGGTTCTTTTTTTTTT